TGGACACAGCCCTTGCTGTTTCCCCAAGAAGGACCTCCTTCCACCTCATGTGTGTGAATCGGTTCTAGGAATGCATTTGGCCCTTGTAGAAATATCAGCAATTCCTACCAGTTCAGGAATTAAATTTGATGACGCATTTGACTATTGATAGCACGTGCATATTGTACTACAAACTCTTTCCACAATTTTGAAGTACTTGTTCTGAAGAAATTGATATAAATCCAACCTCCCCTACCTCTTACATATCGCTAAAGTGCTATGCTGGGTAGTATACTCTAATTCATCTGATGTGTCTTTTGCTGCTTCTCAATTGAGTTGGAACCACAGCTTGAAAACCAATATATTTCCAGAGCAACAAGAGTCGCCCATATAGTATTATGCAAGCAATGATGCTTGCTTTCAGAGTGCATCATCACAGTTATCCAGGGAACTGAAATAGTTCAATCATCTTTTATCTGATTGTCCAAATGAGTCTGAAAAGCATTCATTTTTCACATTATCAAAACATGCCTTCTTGAATGGGGTATCATATCAGATACAAATCTTGCAGTGGGGTATCACAGCCTGACAGCAGCACTCTTCACGTCACCACTTAGGACCAGGGGAAAGCACAGAGGTAAAACCACACTGACACTTTGAGGGGAAAAAAATTCTTCACACGGACTTATCTAAACTAGGAAAAAAATGACAACAAAAACTGCAAGTGAAAGAAATGGACAGTAGAATAGGAACACTTCCTTTCCAACTCCTTTTGAAAGGAATTGGGCAAGGCTACAAGAGTCAGAAAGGACCAGCAGCATCTTCACAAGAAACAATGACATTTTTGCTACTTGAAGATTGTAGAGGGGAATAAAAAAACAACTCCTAGATTTAGTAAGCAAATACAGGATAGACATGGACCAAAACCTTCTGAGTTGCCAAACTAAATATCTGTACTAAACAGTGCAGTATGATACAGCACTAAAGCTACAGTCCTCTACCTTACCTATCAGTAAGCACCCAACTAGTCACTGTGACTACCAGGAGCCTACTCCTGGGATTTGAAATTGAACTCATACATAAGAATCTTGCTCAGGTAAGCAAAGTTGCAAAGTACAAATTAAAAAGCTTTGGAACAGGTAATGTTAGAAAGCCTCACTACGTAGGCCCATTCATATATTCATCAGAAGAAAAATTTGACTTGATTATTAAGAGCTTAAAAAACTGCCAAAGGAGCTGTAACATTTACCAGGCATCTGCAACCTAAAGTAATGTCCCCTAAAGTTCCGGAATTATTTCTGATATGGCAAACAGTTGGCACGTTACTATGGCTGCTTCATAACAATGGGGTCTGTAGCTGTAAAAACAATTTAACTGAAATAATATCTTCAAAGAAAAATCAAAATCAGAAATGTGACAAAAGATGTAGTAGAAATGCGCTTTATGCAGCTTTAAATTATCCAGCTCTGATGGTCACGTGTTGTCATTGCTATTCCGGACTCCAGTGCCATCATACGCAAAATATCAATTTTAAAAGTACATTAAATAAAGTACATAATCACCCACTTAACAAAAATGAAAAATTAAACACCTGAATTTTCACTGTACTTTTTTCAAGCAATAGTAGCACATGAATGGTTTTCTCAGTGTTTAGATATAAACAGCCTGCAGCAGCAAAACGGTCTACTCAGAGAGACATATGCCTATGCAACTTCTTTTTTCCACACTGTTCCTTGTAGTGTGAGCTTTCAGTTGATAATTCGACCACAGAAGTTGAAGCTTAAGTGGTTTTAAAGCATAAATTCAGTTCTCTAGCCTTGCTTTCTTTCCTGTGCTTGTAAGAACTCAAAATGGAAGAGATAATTCCTTTTGTCATTGTTCTGCCTCAGCAGTTGATTTATTTATATTTGAATTCAGATAGGAAGAACTAAAATTAAGACTACATAAACAGAATGAACTGTTCAAATTGTTTCTAGCATCTGTGCACCTTCAAGAGCAACTGACTGATTGGCCGCAAAAGCAACATCAAGAGGCCTTGATACCTTGAACTGTTGACAGCATGGGTTTTCTAAGTCTTGTATTTCTACAAAAGAAAATAAAATCAGTGCAATATCCCAGACAAAGTTGAGGCCACAAAGGACACAGTACGGTACAGCTCACATTCTTTAGTTTTAATCCTGACCCCACACTGACATTCAGACTATACATTTCTTATAGTCTGTTGTGGAGTGGCAGGACAAAAGCTAAAAAGCGGGGCTCTTGCTACTGCTGGCAGAACAAAAGTATACTTTGCTGGGTGCAGACAATTTCTTGTCACTTTGACATCGCAAAGGATGTCACTTCCAAGCTGCTTGAGATATGATATTTCCTTGGCCAGAGTCTTTTCCACTTATTTTGCATCTGCGTTCTTACAGAGGTGGGGATTTTGCCCCCCACAGTGCACGATCCCCTAGCTGTCACTAAAAATCTCCTTCCTGATTAAGTATTTTGCAATTTGAAGAAAAATACAGGGGAAAAAAAATGACCTCTAATCCTCTGATCCTGATAATATCTATTCACTGACAAAGAATCATTAAATTTTGCTGCTACCATTTCTAGCATGATACTTTGCTACTTACAGTAAAATTACATTAAGCAAATACAGTGCATTATTTAAAGCCACACACCAGCTTTTTTCTAAGATGAAACATCATTAGTCAAATATTATATGATTCACACTAAAGGCATTTTTCCTTCACCCACACATCACAGTTTCTTGTGTCCTGAAGGTCTTGAATATAGTTCCACTGGGGTTTACAGTATAATTGTATTTAGTAATTAGTAACTGTTTATTATCAGTAATGTGTACTTTGTGTGTCTTGGATTGCTTTCATATGTAGTTCTAAACATACTCTGTGCAAGGCCCTAAACTAAGCAATGTTTTCTTTACAGGACTTATTCTTACAGAGTAGACCACTGCTCACGCCCTGTGATACTCAGTTTTGAGACACACAAGTCAAAACAACTGAGGTTCACAAAGGTAAGCATAAAAATCAAAGCATTTATGTTATTTTCAGTAAAGGTAATTTACAAATACCTGTAATTATAGTTCACCTGTGCAGATCAGACCGCACATGGAGTCTGTGCTAAAGTCAAGGGAACTGACGGTGTGTCAAAGGCTTTTCCTTGCTTGATATTTACAGTGCATAAAAACAGATGGCACTGGGGTATATAGAGACAGGAGCTGGGGTCTCTTTTGCTTCAGTTAAAACTGGGTATGGGGACAAAGATCTCCATGTAGAAAGCACAAGGTGAAAAGAAAAGTGAATGTGAAGCTGATGCTTCACAATGCTTGAGATGTCCTTGAAGCAACATGCTTTCATCCCCCTATAATTATTTTGAAATTTCATAGACAGACAGTTTACATAATTCCTGTTCTAACAACATGAAAAAGTTTTCCAGAAAGTTGTTTTGGTTTCATTTCCGTTATATTTGTAATAAATGTTGGTTTAAAGATACTAATGCAGTGATGCTGTTTCATGTGAAAAAGTTCAAATATATGTAATCTCTCTAAGCAAAAACTTCTTTCTTTTTGAAAGAATGACAGAGCTGCAAGTCATATTTTAAGACATGCAAATTGGAAGAGCAGCAGAGGCCAGTGCATATTTTTGAGACCACTGCATGCATAAGAGAAGTATGATTTCAGTCTAAGTACTTAAATGATATCACTAGTCAGGTTGTAAAGCAAAAATAAATAAACAACAACAAATAGAAAAAAGGTTAATACACTTACTAATATCAATAAGGCAAAGGGAAAAACTATGTAAGAGATGGCATCATAAAACTTTCAAGTATATGTTAACCACATACAAGACCTTACTTTGAATTTATAAGGAATTATGACATGCTGAAATTGCTGATAGTGGAGGAAAAAAGGAAATCAAACAACACTGAAGGATCACTTTTTAATGGACAGAAAGCAAAAATGGACTCTGGATTTGGCAGGGGGCTGGGGAGAGGGGGAGGCGTTTGGAGGGTGCTGAGCCAGCTCTGCTCCCTGCTCATCGAAAGACAAAACACTGGTATGATAGCAATGCTGTTCTAGCTACAAGTGCAGAGTACAGCACTGTAAGGGCTGCTGCAGGGAAAGTTAACTCCATCTCAGCCAGACCCAGTACAGGCAGGGGTAAGTGTGTGTTTCATTTTCTTACAGTAACAGGTGTGCAAGATAGTTCTTCATAGAAATAAACTGACAGATAGACAATTTCAAAGCTAAACTTGTTTATACGCAGAGAAGCTGAGAACAAAGCATGAATTGCAAGGATCAATAATGACCTCATATTATTCACTTTTATACTTTTAATTACCTTCTACAATTTAAAAATGCATGGACCCCAACTTCATGTTGTGATTACTGTTTTCATGTTGTGATTTCTGTTATGTTTTCATTCTCCAAGAACTCAGTTGTTAAGAAACAACCATCCTGTCTGATATTGCAAGACAAGTGTTACTACACACGCACTGGCTATGATTCTCATCTAATGCAAGATATTAAATTACACTCTATTTAAGTTAATAGATTTTCTTTGGAAGACTACCATCCCACTTTTGAAGATGCCATCATATGTTATAACACAGCAATAAAAATAGTCACTGAAAAATACTGAAATATCTCAAATGAGCGGAGCATTTCAAAATTATGTTCTTTCTAAAAAGCAACTGCTGACTAAAAACATTGTGCAAGAATGAAAGAACTATTTAAATAAAAGGAATCGCTCTATTAAGCCTGTTAAAAAGTCAATTTCTCAGAGTATAAATGCCCATTCTCTCTGTATACCTCATTACCAAAAGCCTTGGAAAAAAAAAAAAAAAGGCTAATGAGCAAAAGAAACAGCTTAGCCTCAGGCCAAGTTCTGCTTTTGGAAATGCAGATGTAACCCCTTGTGAAACAGAAAGGAGGTGTATATGCATATCCATGAGAATGAATCTGGCCTGATGTTTACACTGTATTTGTAAAAAATCATGTTATTTGAATAACTCACTGTTTAGACACATCAGGCATTATTGTCCGTTCTTTTTTGCTTGTATCCACTGTCGTCTCTACAGGGGTAAGTACTACAGCAGCACATGAGACTATTGACTGGTATGAGTCTTCCCGGCAAACTGCAAAGATAAAAATTTCAGTGTTAATCTCGGTGTATATTTTAAATGTTTAAATAAATATATATATATTATAATCAAGTCATATCGTGATAAAGAAAAATGCAAATGATTCTCCAAACTTCAATGCTGTCATCTGAAAACTTCATTGTTTCCTAACTGTTTGCTTGGCACTTTTATTTCCCATGGGTTGATATGTCCATCATCATTCTAATTCACCTAGCACAAGACGTCACTCTGCTCTATCTCATTGGCTGGCTGAGTCCTTAAAAGGAACAGTATGTCTTAGCATCATATCTTGCACTTCTTTTTTTCTTCACAAATCAAAAACCAGAGTGGAGATTAAGGAGGATTTTCAAATAAACCTCCCATCTTCAAACATGTTAGACTTTGTAATAAACTATTTTTGAGAAACGGTGATTTTTTGTACTCAACCATTACATCCCACACTTTAATCCAAAAAGGCCAAATCCAAATGGTCTAGGAGTAATATATGATATTTTGATTCTTGTGTTTTTCCATTAATATAAATTATTTATGCATTATTGTGCTGGTTGATATGACTCATGATATTTAGAGCTAGAAGAATGATTATGTATTTCAGCTGAACATCTGGCTCAATTAGCACTGATGAATGAATACTAGAAGTACCTGACCTCCAAACAGATAGCTGTATTTAAGTTATACATATTCTAAAATCTCAATTGCATGTGTCACGAGCAATTTAGCACTTTGGCAGCCACCACTCATTGCTACTTGTTTTGAAGGTATAGAGTTTCAGCACAGCTAAGGTATACTTTTATGAGCCCAAACCACACACTTATATATTTATGGTACTGTTATATGTCATATGTAAGTTAGAGGAAACATGGTAATTCATCTTTTAAGAAGAAAGTCACATGATATTTTATACGTTTAACATAGGAATTATTTTATAGGGTGTACATGCGCACATACATGGCCAATAACATACATGGTCACAAATTCTCAAGAATTCAAAGCTAGAAAGAACCTATTTTACAACTACAAACATTTGTGCAAGGTTGTGATAGCTGGGGATATTGAATGGTGACATCAATGGACAACTTGTTTCTGATGACATGCTAACCTTCTGTCCTCCACAATCATATGCTTCCTCAGACAACATACCTTTTGCAAAACTTATACTTACAAGAGAAGTAAAACTGGAGTAAAACTTCATTCATATTGCCTTGACTGGATGCCAATCCAAAACAACTAATCATGGCATTTTACCCTGAGTTTTACTCAAATTACATTCAGCATGAACTCAGTGTGCATCAAAATATACCGCATGCCCAAAATGTACCCTGGAGCAGTACCTGGTACTTTAAGGCAGGTAGGGAGTAGATTTTTAAGAACAGGGCAGACCATGCTTGGATATTTGCACAAAGGTCCGAAATGTCCCAAGGGCTTCTAGTTTTCAGAGCAATTCTGAGCCATTTAGCAAACAGCAGGATGTTTAGCAAACATCCTGAGTATGGTCTGATTCCAGGAAGAAAATATTTTTGTGGAGTGCATGTAATCACATTTAATACATTGTATGCTCTCCAGGACTGTTTATGCCTATATGTTTAATTATTAATGTGGAAGTTGCCCATGGATAGACGCATTAGATGACCAGGATTGAAACATTATCTTCTTTGTTTTGGAACCAGTGTTACTCACAACATAGTTGTTATCACAAACATCCATCTCCTAAACATGGTCATACCCACAGACAACTTGCTATATTGCCTACAGACACACAAGTAGGATATACGTTAGTTTCCTACATACAAAATGAAGGAGGGAAATAATGTAAAATACACTGAACTACAAAGTAAGAAGAAAACCATTTTTTTCTCATTTTTTATCCTACTATGTTGATACCATCTACCAAGTGATTTTTATCACACTATTTTGCCTCACTCCGGTTGCAGGGAATGTTGAAGAGAGAAAAATAAAGAGGCAACAGATCAATTATCTGGCTCTGAGCCTGTGGTGGTTTTACTCAGGTGGACAGCCAAGTTCCACCGTGGCCGCTCTCTCACTCCCTCTCCTCAAAGAGGAATGGGGAGAAAATACAGTGCAAAGGGTTAAGATAAGGATAGGGAGATCGTTAAACAGACAGGCAAAACAGACTCAGAGTAGAGAGAGAGACAGATTTATTGTCTATTACTAACAAGCTAGAGAAACAAGGGAAAGAAACCAAAAACACCTTCCCCCATCCACCCTCTTCTACCTCCTCCCCCCCCCCGAGTGGTGCAGGGGAACAGGGAAATGTGGGTTGTGGTCAGTCTTCGTCTCCACCACTTCTTCACGGTCACTCTCTGCCCCTGCATCGCGGGGTCCCTCCCACTGGATGCCGTCCTTCCCAATATGAGTCTGCGGGGGCTTCCCACAAGCAGCAGCTCTTCCAGAACTGCTCCAGATATGGGTCCGTACCACGAGGTCCATCCCTCAGGAGCAAACTGCTCCAACCTGGGTCCCCCACGGGCAGCAGCTCCTGCCAGGTCACCTGCTCCTGCATGGGCTCCTCTCCACAGGTACAGGTCCAGCCCAGAATCTGTTCCATCAGGGGTCTTCCACAGGCGGCAGCCTCCGTTGGTGCAGGTCCACCTGCTCCACCGTGATCTCCTCCACAGGGCTGCAGCATGGAACCCTGCTCCACCGTGGTACTCCATGGGCTGCAGGGGGACATCCTGCTTCACCATGGGCCTCACCACAGGCCGCAGGGGACTTCCGCTCCGGCACCTGGAGCACCTCTCCCCCTCCTTCTTCACTGACCTTGGCTCCTGCAAGGCTGTTTCTCACTCCTCTCACTCTCCCAGCTGCTGTGTGGCAGCATTTTTTTCTCTTTCTTAAATCTGCTCTCACAGAGGTGCAAACAACATCGCTTATTGGCCCAGCTCTGGTCAGCAGTGGGGCCCTCACCAGTGGAGCAGCTTCTAGATTCTTCTCACAGAAGCCACCTCTATGCCCCCCTGCTACCAAAACCCTGCCACATAAACCCACAACAGAGCCTCATGACACTGGCAGAAATTTTTTATTTTTTTTTAATCGTGGGTCATTTTATACGACACTAGGCCTGCTGGCAACAGACAGGCTTCACCTGTCTCAAAAGGGGAAAAGGACCTTTGCTCAGGAGGCAGCAGGGCCTTCAAAGGCCTTTAAACTAGAAAAATACATAAAGCGTCTTTAAGACCTAAAAGGTCTTAAAACTAGATTTGAAGGCGGAAAGGGATTCAAAAGATGTGTAGATGTGGTCTTAGGGACATGGTTTAGTGGTAGATGTGGCAGTACTAGGTTAACATTGGGACTTGATGATCTTAGAGGTCTTTTCCAAAATAAATGATTCTGTGATTCTGTACAACCAGCAGGCAATGTATTGGCAAGGTGCAATTTGGTAGACACCAAGTAATGTACGAAGTAGTATCTTCTACTTACAATCAATGACTAAATATGTTCAAATAAGGACATTTATATCTATTTACCTCTTGATTTAGAGTTGAGGAAATGTAAAAACATAGCTTTATCAAAGGGTGGTATTGAAATTCAGGACCTGCATTTTATCCTGAAATGCTGGTAAAAAGGGGGAGTAAAGGATGAAGCAAATGTAATTGTTTTCTTTAGAAGAAAAATTGTGACACCACTTAACTATCTAGTCATTAATTTAGAACTTGCAAAAGGCCTAGGACTACGAAAGCATCACAGAGTAGGATCATCCACTGTCCATCAAAGCAGTTAACAAAGAAAAATAGAACAGAAAACCCCAAGTAACAAAGATGACACCACTAGTCTCCTATTCTTTATAAAAATTTCATGAATGAATAACATTCTGAAATTTCTTTTGTTTAGTAATTAATGCTACATAGGGATTGTATAATCCCCTGATTTACAGCTGAAGAAAAACCCAGGTCATCTGGTGATCCATGTTCATGGAATTAATTATCCTCCCATTCTAAACAGAGATATACTTTGGTATGGCTTTTGAAAACCACTGTGATTCCTCTCTTTTATCTCAAGACTCTGTGCACACAGTTATAAGTCATTATGGGAATAGTATAATTAACTAAAATGTCATGAAATAGTGACAGTATTTAATTTTTATCTACTGGAGTGCATTCTCTTATTATCTGTTCATAATGTTCATTAAAATAATGACAATGTGCTTGAATGCAGACTAACTCATTTTTAACACTGATAGGGATGGGCACACTTTTACTTAAGGAAACCATTTCCATGTGTCACTTCAAACTTCTCTGAAGTGTAGCTTCTTTCCTACCAGTTTATTTTCCTATGTACCAATGAGCTACATTATCCCCCCAAAAGACAACTAGTGATTTCTACATATTCTCTCTTCATTAATCTGAATCTCTTAGAGTCCCCAAATACTACAAGCCTCAGAATATCAACCCAATACACTAAGGGATTACCCTTTCAAATCGTAAATACTCTCAAGTGTCCAACGGTTATTTCAACAACCAGACAGAGCTTTAGAAATTTACCCATGCCACATAAATTGTTAAGAAAAACAGAGAAAAGTATTTTTTTTTAATTATCAGAGACTGTATTTTGCTGCCCCAGTCTACTACATTATTCCTGAAGTGAGTGTGAAAGTTAATTCTTCCTCTAGCACTACTACTAATGGACAAAAAAGGAAAATGGGTACTTTTAACATGGGAATGGTGTATTTGTGTAGCTGGTTCCTGCATCTTTTGTATTTTCTAATCATTACTTTTTCATCATTTTCAATAGTATTGATGATGCTTAAATTTGACTTTTTTTTTTTTTTTTTTGTGAGGATTTTTCCAGGTAATTTTAATTGTATTCTTGGGTATTGAGTAGGAAGTTTCCAGAACTCCTGCTTATAGTCATTCATCTTGTTCTCCTATTTTCCCTAACTCTTTGCTGTATAAAACCAAGCAGTTTTCTTCAGTCTGTGAATAAAAACTATGCCCTTTGCCTATAGTATGTAGTAAGTGAAGTGAGACATGCTTAAT